AGCCATCAGTATTCAAGATACATTGGCTTACATAGGTTTGCATTTGTATATAATATAACACAGTACAAGATTACTTAATTAATTAAAGGTTTACAATTAAATCCAATTTTAACTGTAATGAAATCCAAATAGATCATTTAATACAAACAAATAATTTCATTTAAAGTCATAATATTTCAACAAGAAAAAATATTTAAATGAGATCAAAAATAAAGGTTGCAATTGTTAGTTGTCATGTTCAAAAAAGTGATTAATGCAAGCATTTTTAAACGCAACCAAATTATCTACAGCCACAGTCTCAGCTGGCAGTGCATTCCAGATACGTATGCCATGAATTAGGAATGAATTATCATACATGACACAATTAACCTGCGGTATTCGAAGATAGTCTTGTCGGACATCACCTCTACGCAGTGCTACTGGCAAAAAGTCTAGTGTTGAGCCGAATTACTGCCGATAATTCAATCGAATTTCCTTACAAAACAAACAGGCAATGGAATAATGTCTTCTCGCTACAAGCAAGATTATAGTTAAACAATTATAAGTTAACTATTGCATAACTAATTGAAAAATTCTGATAAAAAATTTTTCCAAGAAAATTATTGTTTATTCATCTATCCCGTAAGCCCCTGAATATTTTCATTTCTGAAATTTTATATTTAATATGATAAATAATTTTTATTAGTAACGTGTCCAAAGTAAGCGTAGCTAACGTAAGCTAAAACACCCGTTTTCGGCCGTATTTTTATCCCTATATATTGGTACTACAGTTCCGGGGATCGGGACTTCTTTTTAGGAAATTTCCTCCTATTTTTTAATCTTTTTTTAAATTTAATCAATCTTCATTAGTTTTTGAGATATTTTCAAAAAACTAAACCCCCTCTTTTCAGTTATTTGTTAATAACTTTTGCAATTTTTACGAGTAAAACTTCGTTTTTTTTCAAAAATCATCTAGATGCCATTCCGAATAGAATGACAGCTCAATAATAATTTTCAGAGACTGTTAAAAAAAGTTAACCAAAAAAGCACTTGTTGGCTAGACTACAACGACCGTTTTGAGTTACGAGCGCTATAGAAGAATCCGTTGACGAATAAAAATGACAGAAAAAGATATGTTTTATTAATTTTAAAGCATAAATAATTTCTAAGTCAATGAGACTTATGAATAAAAAAATTATTCTATTTCACCAAAAACGATCCGAAAAGAAATATCGAAGTTATGTGAAAAAAACACTTTTTTCGGTTTTTTTCGGTTTTCTGTCGTTCACGCCATCATTCGAAGGAATCGACCGATTTTGACCGGATTAGAGCCGATCGGCGTGGTTTTTCAAGCTTAAGGGCGGATTAGTTTTTGAAGTTGATCGATCGAGCCATTTAAAAGATATTTCAAGAAAACCACCTCTATAACTGAGACAGACTTCTCTTATACCTCTATAAACTAGAAACTCGGATTAGTGAGTAACCTCTTTAAGAGAAAAAAAATTAGAAAAACGGTTCACCCTAAAGGCCATCCCTGCAATTTCCCGCCAATTCTATACCTAAACGTTTGAAATTGCACTTATGACGTTTTAGAGCTCTTCGAGCTCAAAAGTTTGATAGAAGTTTGATAAAACACTATTTTTTTAATTTTCAAATCGCAATAACTTTTGAATGGATCAACCGATTTTCACGCGGTTGGAGGCATTCGACGCAGTTTTATCATCTTCATAAGATGTTTTCAGGTTTTAATTGATCGAACCGAAAATTTCAGAGTAATTCCGAAAAAACACTTTTTTCGGTTGTCTTTCGTTCACGATATCTCTCGAACGAATTAACCGATTTTGACCAGCTTGGTGGCGATCGAAGTAGTTTTTTACTGTCTAGAGCTGTTTACCTAGGGACTTAAAATTGCACTTATGACGTTTTCGAGCTCTTCGAGCTCAAAAATACAATTTATGTGTTATTTTGATCTCCGAGCTCAAAAAGATAGCTTTGGTATGCTTTTGAGCTCTTCGAGCTCAAAAGTTATCAAAATTCGATGAAACACGATTTTTCTAATTTTTGAACTGCTGTAACTTTTTAATAAATCGATTTTTACACGGTAGGCGGCGATCGATGTGGTTTTTTGAGCTCTATAAATGATTCTCAACAAAAAAATTGATCTGATGAAAAATTTCAGTAGTTAAACAATACCGGTTTGATGCCCCTAGAAAGTAGATTTCTGCATTACCGACGGTTGTTGGTGGAGTTTCTGCGATATTGATGGTTGGTTTTGTGCTCTTTTTACCGACTGTTGTGGGGATTATCATCGATTTGTGGTCGATATTTACCGACTGTTGTGGGGAATTATCATCGATTTGTTGGTTGATATTTACTGACTGTTGGGTGATTATCATCGAATTGGTGATCGATATTTACCGACTGTTCGGTGATTATCATCGATTTGGTGATCGATATTTACCGACTGTTGGGGGATAATCATCGATTCGTTGATCGATTGTTTGAGGTCAAAATGCTACCACCCGAACAGCAGAGCTGATACCTGTGCCGTGTATCAGCTTTGGTGTTGATGTGATATGCACTTATTTGATGTGATGATGAATTTTGTATATATTCCTCTGGTGGGATGAAATAGAGGTAATGAGGTCTATTTATCGATTTGAGGTAAGTTTTATCGACAGTTGATGTCATTTAGTGACCTATGTTATCGATTGTGGGTATCAACAGTCGGTATTATACCGAGTGATGTTCTGTTTGATCGATGTGGGGCAAGAGTTTTTCGAATTTTAACGTTTTTTAACCCCTACTCTCTCGATTACATCATGTTTTTACGTCATCCGACAAGTTCAAACCTGTTTTTTAGCGTCGTCATCGTGAATTTTAACGTTTTTTACCCCTTCTTCTCTCGATTACATCGATACTTACGCCACTCTGGTGGGATCAAATGGAGGTATTGAAGTTTATTGATCGATTTGAGGTAAGTTTGACGTCAATTGGTGGTCTATGTTATCGACAGTCGGTTTGATGCCGAATAGATGTTCTGTTTTTATCGACGTGGGGTAAGAGTTTTTTCGGAATTTTAACGTTTTTTAGCCTCTTTCTCTCGATTACATCATGTTTTTTACGTCATCCGACAAGTTTGAACCTGTTTTTTCGCGTCGTCATCGTGAATTTTAACGGTTTTTTAACCCCACCTCTCTCGATTATGTCATGTTTTTACGTCATCTGACGAGTTTAAACCTGTTTTTGGCGTTGTCATCGTCGTTGGGAGGGGATCGTTGGTGGGGAGTTATACTTACTTGCCTCCAAATTTCAGTCCTCTGCCTGCAGTTACTTCAATCAGTCGTTCAGTTTAAAAAAACTTGTGTCTTTTGTTCAAATATTTAAAATTGTGTACTCTACGGAAAATCAAGTAAGTCATTTATTTCATTATTCTATTTTATAATTAATTTCTATAATTATTAACTATTATCTATCAATTTCTAAGCTTAAAAATTCTAAAATTGAATTTTTTTTGTCTAGCTTGCTTGATACCATGGCGGAAATTTTAGACATAAAAAAATCGATTATTTTTGATGAAGCTATTGCACACTGTGAAGCGCATTCACACATGCCATACGCATCATCAACATTCAACAACAGTGATGAAATCAGGATTGCTGTTCAGCATCAAGATCTGTGCTTGCTCCCAAGCAAGAGTACATTACATTTTTATGGAAGAATGAGTAAAGATGATGGTACTGCTGTAAGTGCTACTACAAAGATGGTCAACATGGCTGTCTGTCATATGTTTAGAGAGATACGTTATAATCTCAATGATGTAGAAATTGACAGATGAAAGAATGTAGACATCACCAGTGTTATGAAAGGATATGCTTCTCTGAGTCCAGGACAGCAAAATATTCTGGAAAATGTTGGTTGGATTGTTAATAAAGATAATATCACGTTGACTGATAATAGTGGTTACTTTGATATCTTAATACCTTTGAGTTTTATCCTCGGATTTGCTGAAGATTATCAACGAATTATCGTGAATGCCAAGCATGAATTGATATTAGACAGATCAAATACTGATCAAAATGCTTATGTTACCGCTGAAGATTAAAATGTAACGATTACAATCCAGACAATTGAGTGGATTGTACCGTATATAACAATGTCTAACAAGCAAAAAATTGAGGTGTTGAATTACATAATCTCTGATCCAGCTATTCCGATCAGTTTCCGGACGTGGGAATTGTATGAGTATTCACTGCTACCAGCTACCACTAAGCATAATTAGGTGATCAAAACAACAAATCAGCTTGAGAAACCTCGTTTTGTCATCCTCGGATTTCAAACAGGAAAAAAGAATCAACCGAATCAAAATACAAGCGAGTTTGACTACTGCAACATAAGAGATATTAAGCTCGTCTTGAATTCACAGAGTTATCCATATGGAAATTTGAACCTCAACATTGCGCATAATCATTATGCCTTAATGTATGACATGTACACTAATTTTCAAAGTGCTTACTATGGAAAAGATGCTGAACCACTATTATCTAAGAAAAATTTTCTTAATAAAGCACCACTGTATGTAATTGATTGTTCCAAGCAGAACGAGTCAATCAAATCTGGGCCTGTCGATATACGTCTGGAGTTTGAATCGTCAGCGCAGTTTCCAAGTCAAACTGCTGCTTACTGTTTAATAATTCACGACCGAATAGTGGAATACAATCCAATCAGCAGCACTGTAAGAAAACTTACTTAATATGGTACAGTTTGATTCCAAACCTACCATACATTACATGTATATGTGGGACTTCGCATCCAGACAAGCAAGGTCCATGGGAACAAGCAGCAAGAGATAGAGAACGATTTCACCGACGAATACAATAATTAAATAAAATTATTGAACCTGTATTAATTAATAAACTTAATTTAATAATTAATAAAAAACACTTTCTAATTTAATGATTGTTTATTTATATAACCTTATTAAAATAATTATTCTAAGATACATTAGCTGATAAAAGAATTTATTTAACATTGTTACATTCATAGCAGTCCTTCTTTAATGGATAAGGGTTCTCAAGAACATCATCATACATAGTCCTATAATGCTCTGTACATCTTGTATAATTGATAAATTTTGAATCCATCCTCATACGCTCAGGGAGCTTTGACCATATGGCATTAATTTCATGTTTTGTGAATTGAAGTATAAAAGATTCATCCAAACAGGCAATGTCTTGTGGATCCATCTTGACTAAAGACTGGAGCTGATAAAAATTTTTTAACATAAATTTGATTAAAGTAATTGATAATTTATTCTTGATTATAAAGGTATGATAATAAATTCAAACTTGTGATAAGCTGTTCCGAAATAATTCAAGTGAAGTTCTCCTGCTGAGGTCAAATCGATCAGTGAAGTTAACTGCTCTTCATCATCAATGAGCATCCGGTTGGTTCGATTCGGGAAGAAGATTGAAAACTCGTTTTCCACAATTCCCAAAATTTTTGGTCCATATTTTGTGTTGACTTTCTTAATTTCCGTGATTTGATAAATCTTGTTCAGTTGCAGTTCCTCAAACTTTTTAGTTGGTAAAAAGTTCGGTAAGTTGTTGATTTTATTGATAGCACTCAAATCCATTTTTGAATAATTAAGCTGAAAAATTGATAGAAAATAGTTAAGAATAATAGTAGAAATTAGTTATAAAATAGAATAATCAAATAAATGACTTACTTGATTTTCCGTAGAGTACACAATTTTAAATATTTTTACCAAAAGACACAAATTTTTTTTAAACTGAACGACTGATTGAAGTAACTGCAGGCAGAGGACAAATTTGGAGGCAAGTAAGTATAACTCCCCATTAACGATCCCCTCCCAACGCCAAAAACAGGTTTAAACTTGTCAGATGACGTAAAAACATGACGTAATCGAGAGAAGAGGGGGTAAAAAACGTTAAAATTCACGATGACGACGCGAAAAAACAGGTTTAAACTTGTCGGATGACGTAAAACATGACGTAATCAAGAGAAGAGGGGGTAAAAACGTTAAAATTCAAAAAACTCTTATCCCACATCGATAAAACAGAACATCACTCGGTATAATACCGACTGTTGGTACCCACAATCGATAATATAGGTCACTAATTGACATCAACTGTCGATAAAACTTACCTCAAATCGATAAATAGACCTCATTACCTCGATTTCATCCCACCAAAGCAGCGTAAGTATCGATCTTTCTCGCATATACTTATACCACAAGTCATTTGAATGTATATATAAAATTCATCATCACCCTGATAGCCACACTTACTATAAAAATACTTGTAGTATAGCAAGTTTAGTCAAAGTTAACGTTAAGTTCACTCAAAAACTTGTACAGTAAAAGTTATATACAATTTGTGTTGGAGTTGTATAGTAACTTGACGTTAATCTACTGCCGCAATTTCAATCCAAGTTTTAACAAACTTTTAATATGATACTAATGTTAGCCGTCGTTTAAAAATTTTTCTATTTTTTTTAACAATCAAATTGCAAGTAAAAAAATAATTTAAAAAAATTGCATTCATAATTTTTCAAATTTCCTACATGTGAAATTTTTTCTTTTTATTTTATAGTAACAATTTTTTTAATAAAAATAATTATAAAAATTTTCAGATGTCGGCTAATTTAATTTTCATACTTTTTATCTATAAAAAAGTTATTGTTAAGTTAGAATGATATTTAAAAAAAAAATTACTATAAAATTCATAGAAAAATTAATGTTACTTTAAGTTATATTTATTCGGACCTTCAAGTTGATTAGCGAATGATATTTAAAAAAAAATTACTGTAAAATTCATAGAAAAATTAATGTTACTTTAAGTTATATTTATTCGGACCTTTAAGTTGATTAGCAAACCATGATTTAAAAAAGTTTTTTGCAGGTTAATTGTCAATCACTTAAGTGATTTCTTATTTTTCGTAAGAATTCTTATAAAAAATTAATGAAAAATAATAGGACGATAGAAAAAAATTTTAATGCTTTGTAAATAAATTTATCAAAGATTTCAGAGTATTTTTATATTCAAGAAAATTAAACATCACATAATTTCAGATGTTTATTTTTATTAATAAATTATTGAAACACTTTTATACATTTTTGAAGCAAAAAATGAAAATTAATTTAGCTGACATTTGATAATTTTAAGAATTTTTTTTAACAAGTAAATTATGGTAAAAAAGAATTAGAAAAAAAAATTGACATGTAGAAATTTATAATAATAAAAAATGTAATTTTTTATAAATAATTTTTTGGAATTAATTGATTTGTTAAAAAAAAATTACAAAATAGTCAAGTGATTGCTAACTTCAATGTCATAGCTAAAAACAAAAAACTATTAGATTAATTCAATTCACTCACTTTATATTCATAATTGCAAATACAACTTTACATTTTTTACATTGTAAAAATATTGTGTCAGATATAAGTGACTGAAAATGCGTTGATGGTATGAGTCGAAGATAGCTCGTCCGATAGTGAGCTTGGCTAGGAACCAGGCGATTCGGGTTCGAGTCCCCGGTTTAACAATAAAATATTAACTTTTTTGTCACGGCAGTAGTTAAAAATTTTTACTGTGCTTCGTTTATTTTACCGATAAATTACCTACCGATGTAAAAAAGAGACAAATTCTGATAAACTGCCATATCAATGACTGTTTTCATTCATTTTGTGCAACTTCACTAAAACTTCACATTAAGACTTTTACTAAAATATTTTGATAAAAGTTAAAGTCAAATTACGGCCCTAGATTGTATAAAAGTTGGACTGCAACTTAACGTTAACTTTTAAAATTGGATGGCTATCAGGGCACATCAAATAAGTGCATATCACATCAACACCAAAGCTGATACACGGCACAGGTATCGGCTCTGCTGTTGGGGTGGTAGCATTTTGACCTCAAACAATCGATCAACAAATCGATGATTATCCCCTAACAGTCGGTAAATATCGATCACCAAATCGATGATAATCACCCAACAGTCGGTAAATATTGACCAACAAATCGATGATAATTCCCCACAACAGTCGGTAAATATCGACCACCAAATCGATGACAATCCCCACAACAGTCGGTAAAAAGAGCACAAAAACCCACCATTGATATCGCAGCAACTCTACCAACAACCGTCGGTAATGCAGAAATCTACGTTATCGGGACATCAAACCGGCCTTGTTTAACTACTAATTTCGGAGTTATTACAAAAAAACATTTTTTTTCAATTTTTTTCGACAACGATATCTCACGAACGCATCAACCGATTCTGACGCTCTACGTGGCGATCGATGCGGGATTTCAAGGTTAAGAGCTTAGTTTTTGAAGTTGATCGGTTCAGCCAATTCGAAGATATTTAAAAAAAATGAAAAAAAAACAACTTTTTTTTTCACTTTTTTTGCAATTTCTCGAAATCTACCGGTCCAAATCGGTTCCAACTTACAGGAAATCTAAGCTTGGCGCAGCCCTTTCGAATGACACCAACCGCGATGAAATCGGTCAAGCTGTTCAAAAGTTACGAGAGGTTTACACATACACACACACACACACACACACACACACACACATGCATACAGATACCACCGCGGGGGTAGTCAGGGAAGCTTCCTATGACCTTAAAACGTCGAGATCTGATGAACACTCGATTTTTGCAAAACGGGGTGAAAACAATTATTTCCCGATTTTTGAAAATCTGAGATTTCTAGCGGGAAGTTAAAAATCACGGTCCCTTGAACTCTCTCTTAACCAGGTTTCACTGTATACATGGGATATAACGCAACTTGTCAGGACGATAGTGTCTACAATTAGCAACGGATCTTCACCACACTCAACATACTTATTCTACAGATAGATACCAAAGTCAAGTTTGAAGATGAGCTTAATCGGTCAAGTAATTTAGAAATGCCAGTATTTCAAAATGTTCAAAATCAAAAAAATTCATATTTCTTCACATTCTTACTTGAATAACTTTTGAATGGGATAACTTATTGAATCTCTGTAAATTGCATCTGAAAGCTCTTTAAATAAGCTTTAATTTGAGTACCATATCATATGTGTAGTCCCAAAATTATGTCCTATTCCGCCATGCCAATTCTGAAATTTGCTATTGCATTCGTTTTATAAATAAAACTTGTTATTGACTTATGAATTATTTTATAAATGAATTATGGTACATATTCCGGTTTAACTTGGATTTTTACTACTAATAAAACGATTAGTACTTATTAAAGATGTTTATTATCTATATTATAGTCAACAAGAAAATTATAAATAATTGTTTTCAATAATATTGCTGAAATAGGAATTTTGACATATAAAATTTCTATAGAAATAATTTTTTTGAAAATAACAAAATGACCTTTGATCGATTCATCTTTTAATCTTCCTGGTTTTCCTCTACTTCAACGTCTTTCATACAAGGGGAATCAGCAAATTCAGTTCCTTCATTCATCATTTCGTTGTTAGCTGGAATCAAATTTTATATCAAGAAATTATTTAATACATTAATTTAAAGAAGAAAAATTTTTTTAGTTAATAAATTTAATTTTTTAATTATTGATGGAAATTTTAATTAAATAATTGATAGAAAAAACCGGTGACGTTAGCCGAGTCATCTAAGGCGCATGGCTTATAGAGGACTCGGATTAACTTACCGGCCAGGCGTAGGTTCGAATCCTAAGCTGGTCTTAGAAACCAACTTGGTTGATATTCGGCCCTTGCCGCGTAGATTAAGATTGACACAACCCAAAAAGACCCCAACGTACCACTCCTAACAGTTAAAGTCGGCGATATGACCACAGCAGTTAAAATCGACTTTAAATAATAATTAAATAAAAAAAAAAAAAATTGATAGAAAAATCAATTTTTAATAAATATAATTTTCGCGTCATTTTGAGTTCTCCAAGCTCAAAAATCTGATAGAAGTTTAATAAAATACTATTTTTTGAATTTTTTAACTGCAATAACTTTGGGGCCGTTCATAAAATACGTTCGTACTTAGGGGGGAGGGGGGGTGTTGTCAAGTGTGACCCTACATGTTAAGAAGATGGGAAAAAGCGTGACGAAGGGGGAGAGGGGGTCCAAAATACCAATATTTTGCGTGACGTAATTTATGGACGGCCCCTTTTGAATGAATTAACCGATTTCTACACGGTTGGCGGCATTCAACGCAGTTTTTGAAGCCTCACAAGAATCTTTCAGTTTAAATTTATTGA